GAGGTACTACCGTCCTGCCAAGTGAGTGTAAAACAAAAGCCTGTAATTGTTTTACATGATGGTAGGATTGCTGGTGTCCTTTTTTCTGTCTCATGAACATGCAAGATTTCAGGTACGTCTTGCTACTTCTACTTACACTTAGGTCACACTACCATACAGTTCTTTTTTTTTTTTCAAAAAATCGGCCATCTCCCCGAGCATATACGTAAAATACACCCCCCTCTGGGTTTTCTTCTATTTTCTTTCTAGTTCTTATTCTTTTTTATTTTTTTTTAAAACTCCAATGGGAAGGGAACGAATTCTTTCCTCCATAACCATGCTTTTGCAAGAGGCGACTAAGATCCGGGGCAAGGGGGCTAGAAACCCTTTTCCCGTATATATTAAAATTTAAAAAGGGAGAAACTTTCGTTTTTTTTGGCCACCCCCCTCGGTGGGATAACCCGGGTTTTTTGAAAGAAGAAAGATTTACTTTTTAAAATTTATAAAAAAGAAATATTTACATTTTAAAATTTTTAAATAAAAAAATATTTACATTTTAATTAAAAATAATAAGTTTTTCAGGAACACAAATACGTTACATACATAGATTATCATACAAAGCAGCAAAATGTGTAAAGCCCCTAGGATAACCCAAAAACCTCATATGACTTACGTCATGGCCCCTCGACCAACGATTTAACCCGTTCCTGGAGCTCTCTTAGTCGAAATTATCGTTAGTGAGTTAAAATTTCCCCCTAAAAAAATAAGGGAAATCAATTAATCCTTCCTGACACCCCAAATATTAAAAAAAAAATTTTTTTCCCACATAAAATATAATTTTAATACAGTAAACTAAAAACAGTACAATTACAAACACTTACCTTTTTTTGAAATCTGGTGATGTTTGGTGATGGGAGGAGGGGAGGTGGGGAAGGGTTAGGTTTAAAAAGGGGAACCCCCTTCCAAAGACTTTGAGGTTCAAGCCCTTTTTCCAAGGGTTATTTTCCCTCTTTTAATGCCACTAGGACCACTTGAGAGTCCGGACCTCTGTTGCACAACAATCTTCAAAAGAGCTCTGTACCTCCCACCCTTTTTAAGATTTGTCTAAAAGGGCCATAACATTGTCTTTGTAATATCACCCCAGGGTTGCAATAGCTGTTTTAGGGTGATTTTCCCAAAAAAAGGGTTTGCAGTTCAACCCACTTTGCAAACTTTTCCCTTTAATCTTTGAAGTGGGCACAAGGGTTTCCACCGGCATGGGCATTCATTTACCCCCAAACCCTTAAAAAACTTTTTTAAATTTCCATACTAATTCCACCCTTTTTATAAAGGGGTTGGGCATAAAATTTTTGGGGGCCCATGGTGACTTATTTGGCGGGTGCAATCAAAAAAAAAGCTGTAAAACATAAAATGTTCGATTGTATTTTGGATCACCGTGGGGGCTGGTTGTAAACACTCACCGAGGGGACAAGGAGGCCGCTCAGGCCACACGGGAGTTTTTAAACAAACGAATTGCTTTGGTCGAGTTTTTTGAGCTTTCGAGGCAAAATTTTTGCTTTAAAAATGTATCGCAGTCGTTTTAACGTTATACGATCCATCTTGGTCGGGGGGCCCGTATTTCCATTGGGGTCCCCTTTTTATTTACACTTGTATTTCTTTTTTAAATTTTCACTTTTAATTTTTCACTTACCTTTGGGGAAATTTATTAATTAGTTTTTTGATGGGGGAGAGCGGCAGAGGTTTTGGGCAGTGGGAAAATAGGCAGGGCCCGGCGAGTTCAGCGCCGATACACACCAAGAAAATTCGAGTTACTTTTCGGCATTTTTCTATCCGTACTCACTTAACTTACTTTCTACACTGTTAATTTACACTTTTCCCCCTGGGTTGGGACTATAGCCTTTTAACGTACCTACTCTTTAGTATCGTACATATCAAGAAACACTGAATCACTGCAGAAGACATTCGCCCCCTCTCTTCCTCCCCACTTTGTACTTTGCTACAGTTTTTTCTTTAATTCTATTGTGTTCTTCCCCTTTTTTACCAAAGAACATGGAATAAGTGGGGTAGGTAGGTACTGGTTTACTCGAATTTTTGTCCAAAATACACTAAATGTGATGGTTTTTAACAATACTTTGAAACAATTTCAAGATAGGGGGTTTTAGAGACTTTACAAAAAGGGTTTTTCCCGTTTTAGGGCCCTTTTTTGTGCATTGATTTTTACACAGTTGAGATGGGGCTCAAGGAATACTACGGGTTTTTTTTGTCTTGTCTCTCAGTTGTGCTGAAGCTATCAAGGGGAAAAGTGTCAGAGTTTATTGGTGTGTAAAGGTAAAAGTTGAAAAAAATATTGATAAAGTAAGGTGATGGGGGACAAGCAATTTAGAAAAAGAAAAAAATAGGGTATCACATTGGGGGGGGGATATGGAAAATGAATTTGTTCAGATATTTGGGGTCGACTTGCCACAGATGGGTTTATGAAGGATGGGTTTTAAACCCAAAAATTGCTGAAGTAAAAAAGGTGAGTGGTGCATTTAGGTACGCTGGGACAAAAAAAAAGTTTTCCATGGAAAAGAAGGGGAAGTACAATATAGTGGACCCAAAACTTATATGGGTGTGAAGCATGCATTGTAAATGCGCAGTAGGAGGAGGGGGCTGGAGGCGTGGAGATTCATGTCTAAGGGCAATGTGTGGTGTAAATATTTTGCAGGAATTTGTTGTGTGGAAATTTGGGGTTTGGGGTTCTAAAAGTATTAGTCAAAGGGTGAAAATAGGTTTGTTTTGGTGGTTTTCTCATTTTGAGAGAAAAAAAAAAGCAGAATGACTTTGAGAGCATAAAATCTGTATGGAAGGAAAAAGGGGGGAAAGGGGCTCCTCAAAAGGTTTTTGGGGAGAGGGGTAAAAAAGTTTTTTAGGCAGAGGCTTGGACTTCCCGCAAGCATGCATGAGCAGTTAAGAAGAGGAATGGGGACAAATATTTTTGGGACCTACAAGTTGTTGGGGTGTGAGCAGGGGGAAATATTTTGTGAAGGGGTGCGGGAAATGGTCGCCAACTTGAGTCCCGGAAATGGGAAGTACAATGCTTTTCATTCAAAAGGGGGGGGTTTGGGGAAAAGTTATCATAAAAGAGTGATGGTGAAAGTGGGGAATGATGATGGTTTTTTTTACTTTTTGGGTCCCCTCCCCCAGTGGAAATGCCCGGGTTTTTCCCCCCAACACCGAAACCCCAGGGCCCCCTATCCATCCTTTCCCCGAAGACACTTTCCCCTTTAAACCCTTTTACCCTTAAAATTTTCACTTTTTTTTACGAAATAATTTTATAGGTAAGATTGTTATCCTACCTCAACTCATTTCAAAGCCTAACTCTATTTAAGATATACTACAACCCTCCCCAGGATGTGATCCACAACAGTCAACTAACACCCAGGTACCTACTTACTGCTAGGTGACCAGGGGAAGCAGGTGTAACAAAAACATTACCATGCTTGCTGGGGATCAAACTATGGACACTCAATATGTGAGTTGAGTGAACTGCCAACTGAGCTCCATTCTTTCTCAACAACCAAAGAACCAAAACAGCCAGTCCTCTGCTCCCTGAATTATTTCTTCTGTAACTTCATACAGTCTTCTAATATCTATGCTATAAATTTTGAATGATATACACCATGCATTGCTCTCAAACAAAACTTCTCCACTATCTTCAGCTTCCTTACTGTAAAGTTTAAAGTACAATTTCATAAATATACTTGTATCATGTAGGTAGCAGATTGGTAGACAGCAACCGCTCAGGGAGGTACTACCGTCCTGACAAGTGAGTGTAAAACGAAAGCTTATAATTGTTTTACATGATGGTAGGATTGCTGGTATCTTCTGTCTGTCTCAAAAATATGCGAGATTATAGGTAAGTCTTGCTACTTCTACTTACACTTAGGTCACACTACACATACATGTACAAGCATATATATACACACCCCTCTGGGTTTTCTTCTATTTTCTTCCTAATTCTTGTTCTTGTTTATTTCCTCTTATCTCCATGGGGAAGTGGAACAGAATTCTTCCTCCGTAAGCCATTGCGTGTTGTAAGAGGCGACTAAATTGCCAGGAGCAAGGGGCTAGTAACCCCTTCTCCTGTATAAATTACTAAATTTAAAAAGAGAAACTTTCGTTTTTCTTTTGGGGCCACCCTGCCTTGGTGGGATACAGCCGGTTTGTTGAAAAAAAAAAAGAAAAAAGAAATTGTATCATAAGATTCTGAATGATATTCATACCATACATCACTCTCAAACAAAACCTCTCCACTATCTTCAGCTTCCTCCTCCTCCTCCTCCTCCTCCTCACTACAAAGTTTAAATTATCATAATATACCTGTACCATAAATATTTGGATGCTCTGCAAGACTGCATCAACCTATATTCCTTGGCTTCATGACAACAAATTCTTCACTTTGTAGAATGGTAATGCATTCAGGTTACATATTTTTTGGGATTACCATCATTATTATACTTGAATTTTTTATAATTTTATTGCCAACAACAAGAATGGCAAGGATTTCCAACTGCACAAAAGTTAACCAATCCATACTTTTCTAAAGCAAGTGCTGATCATATGGAATCTACAAACATTTCCAAATGTAGTTAATTCTACAATTCTTGAATACAAGTGTGCTGTATTTTCACAGCAAATCAACTTTTCTATAAAATTTCATCCATCTCCATGACTAGGCTTCAAGGACGGCAAAATCTTTACTTTGCAGAAAGGTAATATCGTAATTATTTATTTTAATTGTTGTTATACCTTTTTCCATGTTCTATTATAAGAAAACAAAGGACAACAAAAAGAACGGGAAAGTCCCTACAAAATCTAGTTTAAGATTAATTTTTTTTTTTTAACTTAGAGAGAGATAATGTATGAATGCTCTATCCCAAGAATATCACAACCAATTATCATGTATCACTTAGTATAACAATCTTAAATTTAATTTTCTTAATATATTACAGTAACACAAAAAAAAGAAAAGAACTTACGGTGCAGAAAACAGTCGTATTTGAAGCATCGTCTACAAAAAAGCGTATGGAAGGAATGCATTGTCTGTTCCTGGGGAACACTCTCTGCATTGGGACCATCAATGTTAGGAGTGCATTCTGGTGGAAGAGCTGTAGGGTCAGTCAGCTCTATGTACCTAGAAAAGGATTAACTTGTAAACTTGTACTGTACTTGAATATTGTCTGTGCATGTTAGCAAACAACAAACAAGAGGAGACATGATAAGCACTCAATTATAAAAAACATAAATGAATAAAGATCGGTTAATCCTGCTTGTAATTACCTATAACTAAGAAAGAAATGACTGTTGATGTAATTAAGAAGCTGTGTTCTAGCAGTGAGTGAAACCAAGCAAAATATATAAGAATTTGAACAGAAAGGAGCTTAAAAAGTGTTAGATACAAATGGATTTTATGACTTGATGTGCTGTTGGTGTGTGAGCAAAGTATCACTTATGAAGGAATTCTGGGAAACCAGTTAGCCAGACTTGAGTCCTGGAGGTGGGAAGTATTGTGCCTGCATTCTGAAGGAGGGGTGGAGATAAGTTGCAGTTTTTGAAATATAGTATCTGCACATCTCTGTCAAGATAGTGATTGAGTGAGTGATGATGAAAGTATTTTTTTTTTTCTGGGGTAACCCTGCCTCAGTTGGAAAGGACCGATGAGTTAAAAAAAACAAAATCTTTAGGTAAAAGGTCTCCTGACCCAAGTCATATTTATGATCAACTGAGCAGCTCCATTAAAGCCCTAATAAAGGGAATGGGCACTGAAGTACGTACAGTGGAACTTCGACTTACAAGTGTCCCAACATACGAGCTTTTTGAGACACGAGTTGTCACCTGGTCAATTTTGTGCTCTGAATTACGAGCCAACATCCGAGTTACGAGCGAGCTTCCCCTGCTTACCCCTCAATCCACAACCCACCTCGCTTGTTTATCTATGATTTCATGCTTTAATTCCATGGACATCATCATCTTTTTCTTATCAGCACTTTCCTTTGCACTTACTTTCTTAGGACCCATGGTTAGAAAAAAGAAATTTGGAAAAATAACTACACAAAATGCAAGCAAACACGAGAGAAATGCTTCCACACCAAGATAAACAGCACTGCACCAGCTGGCAGCATTCTGAAGCTCTTCATTTTTTTTTAAATGAAGAGGGCATTATTCTACATGTTATAAGATTAAAAAACTTTTTTTTAGGATCAGTACTTACCAAGAAATAAGCCAGTGAATTTGGCGCTGGATGCTCACCTGATGGCAACGTGGAGTCCTGCCGCTTGCAGAAGTGTTGCTGATATACCTTTTTACTTCTCATTTTTATAATATTTTATATAATTTCTATGTTCTGATAATTACAATTTATAGTAGCTCTTGTGATTTCACAGCCAATCTTTGTTCAGACAATGATATTAGGTAATGAAATAGTACTCAAATACAGTGAGCCCTTGGTGACTAAAGCCGAATTTGACAATTTCCGAATTCATTTTCCTCGTAAGAAATAATGCAAGTCCAATTAATCTGTTCCAGACACCCAAAAGTATTAAAAAATATTTACATTAACCCTTAAACGGTCCAAATGTATACATGTATATACGTTCTCTCACGTAGCGCCCAAAACGTGTATGTACGTTTCCTTTGTCATTCACTCAACACTGGCACCTAGACATGAGAGAATAGGTGTGCACATTCAGTGTGCACCATATGAAAAAAATTGGGGATGCCTGGGTACCAAATGCTCCTTTTTCCTATAAAAAAAAATTTTCTTAAAATATTAGGGGCACTACGCACATTAACTATATATACGTTTGGACCGTTTAAGGGTTAAATATACAGTGGACCCCCGCATACCGTTGGCACCACATAACGATTAATCCGCATACCGCTTGCTTTAATCGCAAAAATTTTGCCTCGCATACCGCTTAAGAACCCGCTCACCGCTGTTCGTCCGAGACGCGTCCAATGTGCGCCTTAGCCAGCCTCACATGTTCCGCCGGTGGCATTGTTTACCAGCCAGCCTCCGCGGTAGCATCCAAGCATACAATCGTAACATTTCGTATTATTACAGTGTTTTTGGTGATTTTATCTGGAAAATAAGTGACCATGGGCCCCAAGAAAGCTTCTAGTGCCAACCCTACAGCAATAAGGGTGAGAATTACTATAGAGATGAAGAAAAAGATCATTGATAAGTATGAAAGTGGAGTGCGTCTCTCCGAACTGGCCAGGTTGTATAATAAACCCCAATCAACCATCGCTACTATTGGTGGTACAGCTGCTGCTGCTGCACTGTCAGCTGCTGCTGCTGCTGTAGCATCGTCTGCTGCTGCTGTAGCATCGTCTGCTGCTGCTGTAGCATCATCTGCTGCTGCTGTAGCACTGTCAGCTGCTGCTGCTGCTGTAGCATCGTCTGCTGCTGCTGCTGCTGTAGCATCGTCTGCTGCTGCTGCTGCTGTAGCATCGTCTGCTGCTGCTGTAGCACTGTTGTTGGTGTGGCTTATTGAGAATATACCAAGAAACAATTAACCCCAGAGGATTTGCCACCCAGGATAACCCAAAAAAGTCAGTGTCATCGAAGACTGTCTAACTTATTTCCATTGGGGTCCTTAATCTTGTCTCCCAGGATGCAACCCACACCAGTCAACTAACACCCAGGTGAACAGGGAAAAATGCCTGGAACTAGTGCTCATATTGGTGAATTTAAAGCCAGCAAAGGTTGGTTTGAGAGATTTAAGAATCGTAGTGACATACACAGTGTGATAAGGCATGTTCTGGAAGAAAATACCAAACAGGACCTACAGTACTCAGGAGGAAAAGGCACTCCCAGGACACAGTGTTCATCAGTCATTGCTGCATCTTCAATAAAGGTAAGTGTCATTTATTCTTCATTTAGTAGACTAGTACATGCACAATATATACTGTGCATGTACTACTCTACTATTGTGCATGTATCCTTCTCTTTGTGTGTAGGAAAATGTATATTTCACGTGGTAAAATTTTTTTTTTCATACTTTTGGGTGTCTTGCACGGATTAATTTGATTTCCATTATTTCTTATGGGGAAAATTCATTCGCATACCGATTATTTCGCATACCAATGAGCCCTCTTGCACGGATTAAAATCGGTATGCGGGGGTCCACTGTACATTTACCTACACAGAAAATAATGAGACATGAAGAATAAAACAATAGAAACATGACACTTACCTTTATTGAAGACTCTTCTTAGTGTATTGAAGACAGGAGGAGGGGAGAGGATGGAGAATTTACTGTTTGGAAGTGGAATCTCCTTCCATAAAGACCAGGTACGAAGTCCTTCTCAGGGGTTACTTCCCTTCTTTGTTTTTAATGCCACTAGGACCAGTTTGAGAGTCACTGGAACCCTGTCGCTCAAAAATGTGTTCCTAAGAGGTCTGTTTCTGGCGCATGTTAGGAATTGTGGTGGCAGCAGGGGAGTGTGTTGGGAGTCAGGACAAGATAGTCCTTCAATATGACACGAATATAAACTCTACGGCTTATTTATCTAGCACAATTCATCTAATATGACATAATAAACAATATTAATAACATAGAAACATGATACATACTCTAGAATGAATAATATATGTCACATATATCTCCCTAACCGATGAGTGTTGTGTTGTTTGTTGTTGGATGTATAAGGGCCACTGAAAGATAAGCCTTACGTAGTGGTGGTGATGGCGGCAGCATAGGTGGCGGTGTTAGTCAGTAGCCCTAATACCTCCAACAACACTGGAGGAGTCAGTTTCATGCTGTCCTTTCTCTTTCGATTAATCACTTAACTTACTTGCTACACTGTTAATGCCACACTTTATCGCTGGCTGGCGCTATAGCCTTTATTGATTCCTGCTGTTTTAGTTTCATACATATCACAGAATCACTGAAGAAGGCACATTCTCCCCTCTCTCTCTCTCTCAGCCCTTTACCAAAGAGCTGGCTGGCACTAGGAACTTTCACTGGGCCCATGGTGGCTTATTTAGCAGTTGCAAGCACTAAAAAGAATGGAATAATACAAAATGTATTGTATGAACATGTGAGATCATGATCACTGGTTGATAAACAATGGCACACTGAGTGTTGGGCCACTGTTGCCATGTGGACGCATTCGGGACGAATGACTATGGTGGTCCCTCAATAATCGTAAGGCTCGATAGTTGTAGTTTTTTAAAATCGTAACGTTATTTTTGTCAAAACATTGGCTCGCGAATTGTCGTTTGACTCGCAAATAGTCGTTCGTCTGGGACGTGTATACACAGCCCCGAGCCGCCTCACACTCCATTCCCAGCCAGTGTGCTATTGTTTATCAGTGAGTGAGGATGATCCCACGAGTTCACATCATACATTTCATAATATTCCATTCGTTTTACTGCTTGCAACTGCTAAATAAGTTACCATGGCTCCAAAGAAAGCTTCTAGTGCCAGTCCTTTGGTAAAGAATGTGAGACACACATATACTTTAAGAAAAAGTTTGTAGAAAAATACGAAGGTGGTGGTGGTTGAGTGGAAGCAGTTGTGATAGTGGTAGAGGGTGCTAGCAGTTGTGATAGTGGTAGATAGTAGTGATGGTGGTAGAAGGTGGAAGTGATGGTGGTAGAGGGTGCTAGCAGTTGTGATAGTGGTAGAGGGTGTTAGTGATGGTGGTAGAGGGTGGTAGTGACAGTGGTAGAGGGTGCTAGCAGTTGTGAAAGAGGTAGAGGGTGCTAGCAGTTGTGATAGTGGTAGAGGGTGCTAGCAGTTGTAGTTGTAGTAGACGGTGGTAGTGATGGTGGTAGAAGGTGGTAGTGATGGTAGTACAGGGTACTAGCAGTAGTGATAGTGGTAGAGGGTGCTAGCAGTTGTGATAGTGGTAAAGGTGGTACTGATGGTGGTAGAGGGTGGTAGTGGTTGTGATGGTGGTAGAGGGTGCCTTCTTCAGTGATTCTAACTACTCCTTCAATGTTGTTGGAGTTATATAGGGCTACAGAAAACACCGCCGCCTCAGCTGCTGCTTCACCACCATTATGGACGGCTACTCTCAGTGGCCCTTATACACCCAACAACACCACAACACAACACCTCTCGTAACATACATAATGGCTTATTTTATTCATTCTAGAGTATATTCCATGTTTCTATGTTATTA